ATGCCAACACTTAAAATTATCCTTTTCAACATTCGGTGAGTAAGTAGGACTATTCTTTTGTGCTTTTAATTTGCAAACCCCTCATTACTAAATTAGTTAAGAACCTTTTCAGATGTTTACTGGCCTTTTGAATATTATCTTCTGTGATATACCTATTCAAGTCTCATCCATTTTTCTATTATACTGTATTTTTAATTATTGATTTATAGTAAATCTTAATGCTTTATAGGTTTTTGTTAGGTGTACATACTAAACTTATCTTCTACCATCTTATAGCTTACTTTGTTCTCTGAACAGTGCTTTTTTCATAAATAGAACTATTAATGTTTCTGTATAATTTGTCATATTTTTCCAAATGGTTAACCTTTTGTGTCCTGTTTAACAAAACACTGTCAATTTCAATATTTCTGAAAATGTCATACTATGTTTTCTACCAAAAGCTATACTGTTTTAGCTTTCACATTTAGATTCACAATCTGTATGGGATTAATTTTTTCCATACTATGACATAGGTCCTAGGTAAAGTGGTATTGAGGTGATAGAGCCTTAAAAGGCAGGGCTTAGGGGAAAGTAATTAGGTCATGGAACCTTCACCCTTAAAAAGGATTCAAATAGTTCTCTCAAGATAAAAGTACTTGCAAGAAAAGGTATCATAAAACAAGGCCACCCCATGTGTTTGGACCCTTCTGCAAGCAACTATTTCCTTTTTTATTTCTCTGCCATGTTGTGATTTAGACAGGAGGGCCTTCACCAGAGGCTGAACAGATGGGGCTACTAGACTGTGAATTTTCAGCCTCTAAAATTGTGAATTAATTTTTTTTCTTTATGAAACACCTAGCTCTATAAAGAACACAAAACAGACTTAGACACTATATTCAGATGGTTCTCAATTATACAATGGAGTTACAACCCAATAAACTCATTTTAATTTGAAAATGTTGTAAGTCAAAAATTTATTTAACCTATTGAACATCAGAACTTACCAACATGGTATATCGTATAGATTGTTTATCCTTGTGATAGCATTGCTGAGTGGAAGGTACAGCTCTCTTCTGCTCTCCAGCATCACAAGAGAGTACTGTGCTACACATCCCTAACCTGGAAAGGATCAAAATTCAAAGTACAGTGTCTACCAAATCAATATTACTTTCATACTACTGTAAAGTGAAAAAAATTCTAAGTAGCCATGAAATAGCCAGGGACTATTCGTTAATATGGATGTTTCTACAACATCTTGCTTTATTGGTTTATCTGTGCATTCTTGCACTAAATTCCATGCTGCTCTAATTATCATAAATCTATCCTAATGTTCATGAGGAATAATCACAAAAGTATTATTTATCCTTTTTTATTGTTTACTGAATACTCAATATAAAAAATTACAGATTCAGCCACAGAGCTCTAGAGATCATTCCTAATTAAAAAGATCATTTCAAATTAAAATTTCTTTTTTTGTGGATGGGGGGCTGAGGACTGAACTCAGGGCCTTGTGCATGCTAGGCAAGAGCTCTACCACTGAGTTACATCCCTAGCCCTTCAAATTTCTTGACTAGAAAGCATTTATTCCACTGTTTACATAATGTTCCCTGCTGGCTCCCTAAAAGAACAATGGAGAATATTAAGGGATGCATATTTTTTTCTCTTCTGAAATGCGGGTGCATGTAAATTCTTCTTCCTCTGAGATTATAAAATTATCCCAGAAAACACTATTTTACATTTGAACCGATGGTACTATTGTGTATGTGGTGTCTAAACCCCATTGCATGATGATGTTTTTAAATATTTTTTCTCCCTTTTTCAATTTTCTCCTGAAATTTCTACTGGATATATTTGGAACTTTTCATTCTATCCTATCTGTAACTTCTTTTCACACTTTTATGTCTTTCTAGTTATTTCTCTTGAGCTCTGAATTTTATCTTCATATGCATATTCTACTTTGTTAATGACCTCCTTGTCTACAGTTAATCTGCTATTCAATGCAAGCAATGAATTCCTAATTTCAGTGACTACATTTTTCATTTATAGAAATTTCCATTGACCCTTTCTCTAAACTGCTGTCTTTTTTTAATTGTACTTTGAAATAATTTTAGATTTACAAAATTGCAAAAATAGCACAAAGCGTTCTTGCACACTCAATGTTAGTATCTTACCTCACCAAGGTGTTTGTGTGTGTGTGTGCACGCGCACATGTGTGTGTGTGTGTGTGTGTGTATATATATATATATCTCAAAATTAAGAAATTAATACTGGTACAGTACTATTAGCTAACCTTATAGACTAATTCAATTTCACCAGTTTTGTCACAAATGTCCTTTTTTTCGTTCCATTATCCAATTCAGGATTATTACATTGCTTTTCATTACCATGTGCCCTCAACCACCTACAATCAACGAGTTTCTCCGTTTTTCCTTTTCTTTTATAACTATGACTACTTTTTAGAGTCAAGTATTTTGCGGAATGTCTCAAAACTTGGGTTTGTCTGATGTTTTCTCAGGGTTACAGTAAGGTTTGTGGTTTTGGGTAAGAATACTACCAGAGACATGAAGTGCCCTTACCATGTTATATCAGGGGGTAAGGGATACTAACATGGTTTATTACTAGTTTATTAAAATTGGTCACTTGGTTAACATGATGTTTACCATCATTTTCACTGTAAAGTTACAATTTTCCCCTTCTGCACTGTATTCACTAGATACAAGTCACTGAGTACAAAGTAGAGAAATTAAGCTCCATCTTCTAGGGAAAAGACTATAAAAGAAATTATGGACATGTTAAAATCACCACAGTAATTAGGAAATACTTTTGAAAATTATACTTTGGAGCTCTGCAAATATCTTTGTTCCTTAAAGATTCACCCACTCAACTAGGTGAAGTGGTGCTTGCCTGTAATCCCAGCACTGAGGGAGACTGAGCTAGGAGGAGCAAAAGTTCAGTTTAATCTGGGCAACCTGATGAGACCTTGTCGCAAAATAAAAAATAAAAAGGTCTAGGAATGTTGCTCAGTCTTACAGTGCCCTGGATTCAATCCCTAAAAATATTCATCCCCCTAAAAAAATTCATCCTCATATTTTTTAATATTCTTAAAAGGATTATTTCTACAGCAGTTATTACTGTGGTCTTCTAATGGTAAAGTTTTTAATTTCCCCCATTCTTTCTATAGGTCTGATTTGAAATTTTCTATAAGGAAGCTTTATATCAATACAGAATCATAAGTATGTATTTTCTTCCTTGGATTGTAACCAATACAATCACTGTTTTGTTGCCGATTTGATCACTTTCAGGTTAGCTACGCCTTGGCTCCTCTCCCCTCCCACCCCTTGCAGCCTTCTCTCCCTCCCTCTGCCCACCCCCACCCCCACCCCCACCCCTTCTCACTTTCGTACTTCTGGGCATGCAAAATGATCTAGGTTTACCTTGTATTCTCCCTGCCCCACCCCTAGAGTTAGCCATTTAACCAGAAAGCCCTTGTTACACTCATTGGAAAAGAGCATTTAGAAATCAAGATTTGTGTATTAGTTATAGCCACCAAATCAACAATTTGATCCATTTTATTTCTATCAGGGTATCATGGCTCCTAGGCCCTCTCAACAAACAAATCTAGCAATCCTGTATATGTATGCACATGACTCATTAATACACACATATTTATATTTACATCCATGTATTAAAATAAACATGAACTCATGTGTTTCACCTCTAATCCAGCACCAAAGCATTCATTGAATCTTTGATCCCTTGCTAATTTTTAACTTCCTTCTCTGATGAGAAATTTGCCTCCTACTAAATATACTTCACTTACTTATTTGTTCAAGTCCACTACACATATATTGTTAGATTCATTAACCTGTAACTAGGAAAATCAAATTTACCACAAAATACAGCGTATTTATGTACAGGTTTTTCCCTTTCTTTAACCTTTCTGCAATGAAAACAGTAGTTCCAAAGCTAAAATATTTTTTGGGTGAGGTTATAATATTTGTAATACAGTTAGATTCATTTGTCACAATATGTATTCCATCCTTAGATTTCCCCAACATCCTGATTGACTTGTCGTAAAATTTATCTACAGTAAAGTTGATTCTCTGTGGTAAACAGTATGGACTTGTTTTGTACTTCTGATGTTGGGAATCAAACGTAGGGCCTGCCACATTCTAGCCAAGTGTTTTCTCAATGAGTTATATTCCCACTATACAACATAGATTTTGACAAATGTATAGAGTGTTATATTGACTTATCTCAGTACCATACAGAAGAATTCCACATCATTAATTTTCATTGTGATGCCCCTTAAAATCAATTCCTTTCCCTACTTCTGGCAAATAACTGACCTGTTTTCTATCTCTATAGTTTCATGTTTTCAGATTGTGTTATGAATGAAATAATACAACCTATAGCCTTTGAGTCAAGCTTCTTCCATTATCCAAAACACCTTTAAAACTCATCCATGTTACTCTGTAAATCAATAGTTTGATCTAATTTATTGCTTTTTACCTATTTCGTAGTTTCTGGAGCAGATATTATTGCACTGTGTGCCACATTCTCTTCGTTCATCTGGTTTCAATGCTTCACATTGTCAGTGTCTCATGTAAAATTCTGCAATATCTCTACTTTTCTACCTTAGGGTTTTCACTGATGCCAGGAAAGCTATTGATCAGACATGCTAGTACAGCTCAGAAGTACAATGGAGTTAATATCCCCAAGGGTTTATTCAACCAATGGGAAAGAAGAGGAAGTAAATAAATGCCTCAGTTTCCCAGTACCTAACTCTGAGGAGCATTCAACATGGTTAGTGAACATCAATGGCAGCTTTCAAAATAAGGTCAGCTGACTCTATCATAGATGCTTTGAGACAGTATTCTTATACTTACCATGAAGTTTCACTGGATACACTAAATTGCATGAGAATGCTAAGATACTACAATGATATGAGCAATAAAATATTATAATAACTTGGTTCACTCAAGCAGAAACTGAAATTGTTTTCATCAGATTTTTATTACCTGGACACTGGATAAAGGACCATTCATAGTTCTTTTCCTTAGGGCAGAGACTAGTGTCAAGAACCATCTCATTATTGTGTATTCCAACAAGTTTCACTGGTCCCCGTGAAGAGCCTTCAACGCAGTATCCTCTTCCTGTATTACTAGGATCATTGCACCAGCCACATCCAGGCTGCTCCAAACATTGTCCACATGTTCTCAATCCAGAACAATTCTGAGCTGCATGATATGAACATTAAAAATGTTACATGACTTTATATCAAATAGAATTGTAGGCTAAACATAAATATGACTACAGAAAAAATTAATATAATTCTGAAAAGATCAGTAAAATGTTACTAACTGTAGTTTGTGTAAATATTTCTGTATTAATACCTAAGATATAGGAATTATTTAAAGTACATAAAAGAAGAGATAAATAAATTGACTTGGTTGTTTTTTAAAAAAGGAGGCGGGGGCGATAGCCATGATATGGAGAAAAATGAAGTCAGGGCCTAAAGACTCCCAAGAACCTTTCCAGTGCTAGCACTTTTGGGGAGGTGACCCAGGAGCCTACAGAACACTTATGCCATTGGCTGTGGTGCTGAGCTGTTTACCATTCTTGTATATATTACAGGTCCTCAATAAACCTCTATTCTCTCCCTGTGGATAGCCAATGTAAGTTATGGCTGCCTGTTCCCTGAGATTCCTGACCCCAACTTGGACTGTTTCATGTGGGTAATGCTCTTCTCAAGGGGCCAAGATACTAGTATCTGGCTATCATGTAAGAGGTAAACTCAATTTTACCTCAAGAATACAGAGTAAGAATATGGGAGCCTGCTACTTTCCTTTAGACAACCTGACGATTCCACTCTTGCTAACTTTAAAGGCTAACGAATATCATTGTAAGACTAATTCACTGAAGCTTAACTTTTATTTTTTTGGATTGAGACACAACATAAGAGACTCACCATAGCCTATGAATGTTATGATATCATCCAAGGATAAAAAAAATAACAGTCTGACATCATATTCATAGTCATTACTAAGTAATGCTTTTAATTTTTAATCAGACCACCCTATATTGGGCTGAGATTTTCCATAATACTTTTACTTTGCTACATACAGCAAATTTTGTTTAGGTAACTGTCTATTCACAGAAAATAGTGACAGATATATAAAGAACTGTGAATGACGTCTTCTAGTCACAAAGTAGAAAATCCCCAGAGGGGGAAAAATGGTAGCTTTCTGGTAAATTCAATTCCATTGTCGTAGTGTTAATAATTCAGCTGCCACTCCATATTTAATATTACTGGAAGCAATAATGTTCCTCCCATTACTGCAAATAAAAATGGCATGAGTTTCTTAGTGAACGTCAGGAACTCATTATACTAGGCTGTGCAAGATAACAATATTAAAGAATTTGTCAATGATAATATTATTTGTTGTGAATTCTTTGAATGCTGAGTAGCTGAGTGACTGGATATAGGAAGGTATTCTAGTGCCATCTATTTCTTGAATAACAGAAAAGGAATTATATACTGTGAGTCATCAGACACTAATAGGTAGTGCTAACCTTGCACACACAATTAATTCATTGACATGAAGAGTCTTCCTTTGGAAATTTAAATTTTTCCCAATAGTATACAATGGTAAACAATACTTCATTTAAAAGATACTTAGATAACTGGACAATAATCCAATATCCAATTAACAATTAACTCCTACAATTCCATAGTCCTCCTTAGTTTCTTTGATTTGAAATATTTTTCCTACTTCTATGATTGTAGTTAAGTCCACAGTATAATTGACTGTGTTATTCTAATTATTTACAAAACTATACAGAGTTGTTATGCAATTAATAGTAAGTAGTGGAAAATATCAAATTAGTTATATTATCTTGACATTGGAATTATTTACTATCACACAATGGCTCCTTAATAAATCTTGTTTTCTCATATGTTTAGAGTCTATGGTTATTTCTTGGGAAAATAAATTTTATCTTAGCACTCTCTTTTTAAGGAAAGATAATCATTAAAATGTCTTTAAAACGCATTATGAACTTAAAACTAAACTACTCTTAAAACAATATTCCTGTTAATGCTTTCTAAACAGCTGGGGAAATCTTAGGTTAAAGAATCCTGCAGATCAATGGAACAGAGAATTACAGAAACAACCCCAGGCACATTCAGCCATTTGATCTTTAATAACAAGGCCAAAAAACATATGCTTGAGGACAAATAGCCTCTTTAACAAATGATGCTGGAAAAATTAGCTATATGCATGTAGAAAATTGAATCTAGACCCACAGCTCTCACCATGTACTAAACTAAAATCAAAATGGATCAAACATCTAAATATTGAAACAGAAACAGTCTGTTGAAAGATAAAATAGGTAAAACTCTTGAAGATATAGGCATATAAAAAGACTTTCTGAACAGAACCCCAATTGCACAAGAAATAACATCACGGATCAATAGATGGAGTTATATAATATCAAAAGCCTTCTGCATAGCAAAGGAAACGACCAACAGATTGAAGAGACAACCTATAGATGGGAAAAATAGTTACCAGCTATTCCTTAGACAGAGAACTATTATTAAGAATATATAATGAACTAAAAAAATCTAACACCCCCAAAATAAAAGACCCAATCAAAAACTGGGCAAGTGAAATGAATATACACTTCTCAGAAGAAGAAATACGAAGAGCCAATAAGTACATGAAAAAATGTTCAACACCTTTTGTCATCAGAGAAATACAGATTAAAACAACACTGAGATTCCATCTTACTCTAGAAAGAATGGTTATCTTTAAGAAATCCAATAATAACAAAAAGATGGCAAGGCTGTGGGGAAAAAAGAAACCCCACAAGCACTATGGAAATTACTATGGAAATTCCTCAAAAGACTAAAACTAGAAATTCCATTTGACCCAGCTATTCCTCTTCAAGGTAACTTTCCAAAAGAGTTAAAGACATCAAATTACAGTGATGTATACATACCCATGCATCTCAACTCATAATAGCTAAATATTTAAAGTGACCTATATATACATTGTCTTAGTTACTTTTCTCTCATTGCTAAGACAAAATACCAACACCTAAAGTTAAAGGAGTAAAGGTTTATTTGGCTTACAGTTCTTAGAGGTTTTAGTCCAGAATTGGTTGGCTCCAAGGCAGGGTGGCAGAGGGGCAACAGTTCAAGGTGGCAGAAGACAGCAAAAAGCAACAAGAGACCTTAACAGTGTCTTTCTGCCCCTTTTATGTTATTCAGACTACTGGGCTTAGGGAAGTGCCAAACCAATCATTCATGTTTAATAGTTTCATAATCACATGCCCTTATCCCAGCTCACAAACTCTAGATTCAGCCACTCATGAAAAAGAAAGCCCACCTCATCCACATGAGGCTTTCAGGGAACAGCTAAACACAAGCCATAATATCCATCAACAGATGAATAGACAAAAACCATGGTATATATACACAATGGAGTAATACTTAGACATAAAGATAAATTTGAGTCATATGCATCTTGAGATCGTAATGTTAAGTGAAATAAATCAGAAAGAAGCTTAAATATTGCATGGTTTCTCTTATATGAGAAACCCAAAGTATAAATAAAGAGCAAAATAAAAGATAGATAATAGAAAACAAGGAGATAGACCTTTTGCAAATGTACAGGAGACCAAGAGATGCAAGGAGGGGGGTTAGAGAGGTGGGGATGGGAAAGTAAAAACAATTAAGATGTGTTAGGTACATGTACCAATTTCCCACGATAAATGTAACCATCATGTATTGGAAACACATATGATAAAAAGAATTCTGGGTTTCTTGAACTGACTTAATGACAAATTATAAATCTTCTAGTTCTATGTGCTAGATTTTAGGATTTTATAACAAGTTATAAAATTTTATGTTCAGTATAACATTCTAGTTTTTTGGTTTTCATTTTAGATATAAAAACTATTAAATAAGGCAACATTGTTTTTGCTCAAAAGTGGAAAGCAATGTGCACTAATAAAAATAAAAAGAATACTAATTCTTTATTATTTAAAAGTGATTCAAAAGCTAAAATTCTAAGGTTTTTTTCTTCATTTTATTACAGAAAACAATGTTACAGGAAAGCTTATGTAGGCTGTATATGGTTCCTAAAGTTATGGATGGTATAGAGACTGTAAATGAACTAACAATATTGGTAAATGTTAGTAACAATCTTTTTTATTTATTTTTATATACTTCGGGGTTTTTGAAAGTCAAATTGTAAAATAGTCAATTTTTAAATATATAATAAGAATTTGAAAAATCAATCCAGAAGCAAGTATCAGCAAATTAAAAAATAATTACCTTTCTCAATTACCAAGAAAAGATGATCTTTTAAATTAGGTGTGTATATAAAATCAAGAAAATATTAAAAGAAATATAGTTTCATAAAATACGTGCAATATCATTAAGTTTGTTATTCAATTTTAATATATTAATTTCATTCTACATATTAAGAATTAAATCTAATCCCCCCAACTATATAAAACAAATATTAAGGGACATGAAAAACCAAATAAGCACTAATACAATTGTAGAGGGGGACCTCAATACCCTACTGTCACAAATAGACAGATCATCTGGACAAAAAAAAATCAACAACAAAATATAGAATTGAACCAAGGTTTTGAATGAATGGACTTAATAGACGTCTACAGAGTGTTTTGCCCCACAAAATCAGAATATATATTCTTTTCAGCTGCACAGAGGTCATTCTCCAAAATAGACCACATGCTAGTTCATAGCACATGTTTAAGTAAATGCAAAGGAACTGAAGTTATCCCATGTATATTATCAGACCATAGTGCTGCTAAACTGGAGATCAATAGCATAAGAAACTGCAAGAACTTCACAAACACATGTAAATTGAATACTACTCTCCTGAACAACCAATGGGTCACAGAGGAAATTAAAGAAGAAATTAGATGGTTTTTGCAATTACATGATGATGCCAGTACAACATACAGGAATCTATGAGACACAATGAAAGCAGTTCTATGAAGGAAATTCATAGAAGTGAATGCCCACACTAGGAAAGTAGAGTGAGCTCAAATAAACAACCTAATGGTGAATCTTAAGCTCCTATAAAGAGAAGACCAAAACAAACCCAAAGCTTGAAAAAGGGAGGAAATTATAAAGATCAGAGGAGAAATCAATGCAATGGAGACCAAGAGAACAAAACAAAAAAAATCAACGAATCAA